TGTGAGCTTATTATTTAGAGTGAAAACTGTAAATCTCTGTTTTGGTAGCATTTGGTTGGAGTCTCCATTTACGGAAATACTTTCCCACTGTGTGTAAGTCCGCCGTGATGATTTCTTCCTTTTTTTTTTCGATAAACAGCTGCAAAACGAAAATTTTATCTGCACGATCGTCCTGTACGGAATTCATTTTATTTTTCTATGTCCTTGTATTCTAACTCTTTTTTTTTTCTTTTAGTATCCAGCATAACAACCTCTCCATTAAGTTGGTAACAAGTTATTCTCCTAAATTAGAGCATGCACGTTCTCCTTTTACACCTTATATATATATTGAAAACTAATATAGTCAACATTTCAATCATCTGAGATATTTCGCCCTTGTAAACATTTCTTAAATAATTGAGTCTCCCTCCTGTGTAATAATATTTGGCCGAGAATCTTTTACAAACTGGTAGTGTTAATATTTATTACGTAGCAATTTCTTTTAATATTGATAAATCTCACTAAAATTGCAAAGTATTTTTTTGTGGTTTATTCCAATAAAAATCAATGTATGTAGGTGCCGTAAAGGCATACAATTTCTTTAATTATGTTTTAAAGCAAATTAAAACATACTCTTATAAGTACAATCCTTAAGTTAACATCGTATCATTATCCTAGGTAACGAGCGAGCCGACATGACATAACAAAATAAACTGTTTGGTGCCAGAAATCACTTTCTTGGTTAAATAATTGTTTTACTTTTTGTCAAATGATTAAACAACCGAGTTAAATTGTTACCAACAATTGTTTTTTAGAGCAATTTTAAATTACAGGATGTTGGTAGAGTGCGTGACAAAAATTATGTTGATTTTATTGATTTTTGTTATTGGTTTTAAAATATTTATGGTAGTAATGTGCAATTTTTATGTGGGCTGGCAAATATCAATGATTTATGTGTTATAAGCTATTAAAAAAATTCAATTAAAGATCAGTATAGGTTATAATTGATTATCGAACACTGAGTCTCATGAGTTATACTTTAAAAGTACTGCTGAAAGAAATACATAAGAGAATATATGAAAGCTAGAGGAGGATATTAACGAGACAAAGTTCGGGTTCCGAAATGGAATGGGTAATCGAGAAGGAATATTTGCTATCAACATATTGAGTTACATAGTTCTTCTACTACTTGAGAACATAGTTTCCAAGTAGTTGTACTGTTAGACACGTTCAATTCTCATTTGGTTCACATACAGATTTGCTCCAGTTATGTTGTCCTTGCTGAAGATCATTAGCTTGGTGTTGCTGGTGTTTATATCCAGTCCATATGTTACTTGTTTCTGTTGATAATGGTTAATGAAACTGCGGATAACGGTTATTTAACTAGACAAAAGAAAGAATATTAAGTTACTTTTTGAATACATGTTTCCATGTTATATCACTTATTATTTATATATGGTTTTGTAGATAGTACTAGGGTTATTAGCATTTATAGGATTTCTACTAGTATGGAAGTGCTCGCCCTATGACTTAACCCCCTCCAGGAGGACCGGGTAATTTTTAATCAAGGCTTTCTTCCTCTAGATTAGATGTCTTTCAGGACTGTAGAGACTAGTCTTCCCTTAACTCGGTTCTTCCGCTTTCGCTCCGTTCAGCGTTGACCTTCGCCTGTAACCCTAGGCAGGAGCCCTTACAGGGTACTATCATCCGGGCCAGATGAACCCTGGTTCATTCGGAACTGCAAAGGCGCCAAATTTAAATTTTACTACACTTCACAATAATCATACACTGGCGTAAGGGTTCTAATTTATCTAATGGAATTAGTACAAAGTTTGAAAATGTTAATATATTAATTGTTTTAATTAGGGAAATATTTCATAGGTTCAAAACAATATCTTTATACAAATCCAGAATACACGATTTATTACTACTCGATTTGATACTAAATTTTGGAATATTTTTCTTTATTTATTTAATCATTTAAAACCAGATCGAAACTTTTATGTACTTAATCGTGTTATGCATATCCGTGAAAGTGTATAAGATTATATGAGGTATTTACTTTTCCTTTAGTAAGATTCACAGCTTCGAGAAGGTCAAAGTGTCTTCAGTTGGCATTGCACATTGCAATTGGCACATCCTTTATATTTATCTTTAATTACTAGATACAAAGAACCAATAAATCCAGTTGATTCTTTGTATGTTTCTAAAAATATCTTTCAAATTGTAACAAACGAGAGTAAATTTTTAATGGAGATTATTTTTGGCACCTAACAATAACTGGTTTAAATTGTTTCGTTCCTTGTTGTCGATATAGGTAATTGGACAATTCGTTTAATAGAACCAATTTACCAATTACAGTTTGTGATATTTAAGAATTCAAATTCATTGTGACGTCTTGGAATAAATTATTATTTAATATGTGAAAAGATTTTAAAATATAATATCGGCACTCACATTTAGTCTAATTCGCTTTTTTTAATACTCTTTCACTTGATTTTGATCAGCATTTAATTATTTGATACTTTTGTGCCTATTGTGAGTATGGAGCTAGATTTATAGTACACGAACAGTATAGGGAACTCAAAAGAATAAAAAGAAGAACAACAGTAAAAGCAAAAAGAGAAATGTGAGATAAGAAATGCTAGGAAATTAATACCTACCTGGGAGGCAGAAAATGTACAGAAACATAAAAGTTCCTCAGTAAAATAAGAACTAACGAAAGGAAGAGCAAAAACATTCAATTAATATCCACACAAAAATAAAGTAACGGGATACTACAACACTACCTTTTCCCCAGGATAACTCATCTCATTATGGCAGAACAAAACAAAACTCAGATGGCCCTCAGTCCCGGGCAGGCCTTAGATGGTCAGAGGGTGCGAAGAATCTCCCGGTGCCAAATAGATGATATCCAACGAATTTCAACATGTAATGTTAATAGTCTTTACAAACCAGGAAAACTACACAACCTTATAAAGGAAATGAATCGGCTGAAAACAAATATAATGGGAGTCAGTGAAGTCCGATGGTCTGGATCTGGACAGTTTACGAAAGATAAGATTACTATGTATTACTCGTGTAGTGACCCAACAGATAGACATCACCGACATGTGGCTATTGCTCTTAACAGGAAGACCAATAAATCGGTGACAGATTTTGTTCCAATTTCCGAACGAGTCATGTTGATCAAAACGACAGGCAAACCAGTAAACATAAATGTGACACAAGCATATGCACCAACAGCAAATAAGTCAGAAGAAGAAATAACTAAGTTCTATAAAGATCTGGAAAAAGCAATAAGACTAACAAAGAAAGAGGACATAAACATAATAATGGGCGACTTTAACGCCAAGGTGGGTAAAGGAAGATATGAAGACATAATTGGAGAGTACGGCCTTGGAGTTAGAAATGAAAGAGGCGACCTGCTGTGTGAATTCTGCCAGGAGAATGGTTTTGTCGTCATGAACACATGGTTTCAGCTCCCACCTCGTAAGTTATATACTTTGAGATCATCAGGAGACCGTCCAAATCGAATAATTAGAAACAAAATTGACTACGTTTTAATAAGCAGAAGATTTCGTAACGCTATCAAAAGAATCGCAGCATATCCAGGTGCTGATATTGCATCCGATCATAATCTGCTAATAGCAGATGTGAGGTTAAAACTAGCAAAAATTAAGAGAACAAGTACAAATACCAGCACACCTATAAATACAAGAGAACTGATGAGAGACGAAAATCTGAAGAAGAGTTATGCGAATCAAATTAATGAAAGAATGCGAGTAATAGAACAAAATGATGATATCGAAGAGATGGTCAATGAACGATTCTGGCAGTAAACAGGGAAGTTAAAACACAGATCAGAAAGAGAAATCATAACGAATGGATGACGGACGAAATTATGGATCTAATGTAAAAGCAAAGGCAACATAAACAACAACGTAATCAAGACAAATACAAACAGATACACAAAGAAATTCGTCAGAAAATTAAGAAAGCAAAAGAACGTTGGATGGTGGAAAGGTGCAACGAAATAGAACAACTGCAGGAAAAAGGAGATAGTTTTGGACTACATAAGAAGATCAAATAAATATCGAATATACACAAAAGCCACCACAGAACAAGAATACGCAACGACAGAAACGAATACATAGAGTCAGAAGAGGAGATAGCAATGGCGTGGAAAGAATACGCAGAAACCCTTTTTAGTGACGACAGACCAACACAACCAACGCGCAAACTTCCTTCCGAAAACTTATCAGGTAAAGGTCTACGTCAGGGGTGTTGTGTATCACCGACCTTGTTTAAAATATATGTTGCAAAAGCATTGAAAAAGTGGAAACGAAAATGCAGAGGCATGGGCGCAGACCTTGTAGAGATTTGCTTGTATACATTGCAGTTTGCTGATGACCAGGTTATTATAGCAAACGATAAAGATGATCTGGAGTACATGGCAAGGAAATTACAAGAAGAATATACAAAGTGGAGATTAGAAATTAATACAGAAAAAACAAAATCCCTGCCAATAGGTACCGAACTATCGAACATCACATTAGAAAATAACGAAATCATCATGCCTTGCAGCCATTACACATACCTAGGAATCGTTTTTGACACAACGGGAAAAGATGAAGAAGAAATAAAGAGAAGAATAACACAATCCAGAAAAACAATAGGTTGTCTTAACAGCATACTGTGGAGTCATGACATAGGAGAAAGAAGAAAACAAAATATCTACGAATCTCTTATTAAAAGCAGTCTATTGTACAGAGCAGAAACTTGGCGAAGTCTTATGCAGCCAATATATAAGAAATAAGATAAGAGGGAATGCCGTAATTATATTTCTTAGAATTTGAAGGCAAAAAATTTCATTTCTGCTTTTCTTCTTTCGGCGTAAACTTTTTCTTGTTAAACCAAGTCGAGAAATTTGTTTCCCGAAATAAAAATTCAAGTTTGTTTTGAATATTTTTCTCAATTTGGAATAATTATTTTAAATTATTGTATCTCTTAATTTTCAGCAAGCTTGCTCATGTTTATGGCAGGCACTGCTTGCTGTTGGTCCTCTCCAGAAATACCAAAACTTCTAAACATCACGGAGAATTCCTTTGGGAGGGCAATAACGCCGGAAGAAATTTCGTGGATATCTTCGTTGTTGACCTTGGGTGCAGCGTTTAGTCCTTTTCTGTATGGATTCTTGGCCGATAGTATTGGAAGGAAACCATCGATGTTGCTAGTCGGAGTGCCGTTTTTTGTTTCTTATGTGATGCTGGCGACAGGGACGGTCATAGAAATATATTATTGTGCAAGGTAAGATAATTTTTTAATGATAAGGGATCTACGTAAAGCATTATTCTATTTTTTATTTATATATAATAGGCGAGTCTTCTACAGCTCTTAATTTCCAGCGTTTTCTGTCTAAGCATACTTTAGTGTTTTAAGCTCTGGCGGTAATAATAATAATAATAATAATAAATGTCTTTATTAACAAGTAAATTAAATTTTTCTTTACAATGAAATATAATATAACAGTTGGGCGAGATTCAGTTTGTATACCACTGTGTAACAGCGGCATACAACTGCTCTTCCACCTAACCCCCCGAAGATAGGATAGATAGACTATATCTAAATAATGAAATTATTGTATTCTACAATTAAACATAAAAATATAACATATTAAATTTATAAATTATAAATTTTAAACTATTTCCTTTTTTTTATTTCTTAAATTTTTAAATTCTTAAATTTTTAAATTACTGTTTAGCTAACAACTGTTCATAAATTAATCTCTTGAATTTGACACTAGACAGATTTTTAATATTGTAGGACAAACTGTTAATATTGCAAGCAACTGAATACGAAAATGAACGTTTAAAAAAGCATGTTGTATGTTTAGGTAAAGTGAGGGTATTCTTATGTCTAAGATTAAGATTATGAATGTCTGTCCTATAAGTTATTCGATTGTACAGATATGGTGGAACTCTCTCTTGAATGATTTTATGATAAAAACATAATGCATGAAGTTTCCTACGATTTTTCATATTTAGCCACTTGACTACGTTGAAAACATGACTTATTCTTTGAAATTTCCTGATGCCAAATATCAAACGCAAACAAGAATTTTGCAATTTCTGTATTCTCCATGAATCGAATTCAGTGAGACACGCATTATAAAGCACGTCACAATAATTTAATTTTGATAATACCAGAGCATTACATAACAATGACTTTGTGGCCCTACTTAATAAATTACGGCTTTGATACAGTAATTTTGAAAACTGCGTAAGCTCTTTGTAAACAAATACTTACATGATATGTAAACCTTAAATCTTCGTCGAACCAAACCCCTAGGCTTTTAATCTTTTTGCTAAACATTACATTGTCATTTCCTAAGATAATTCGATTGGCATAATTCTCTAAAAATATTTTCCTATGAAGGTTCCTCCCAAAAATGATACCCTGAGTTTTTGATGTATTCAATTTTAAACAATGATTTTGAGAAAAACTCTGCAGATGCAGAAGGTCATGATTTATTGCATTTACCGCTTGATCACACTCATTTGGATAAAATGACATATAGAGTTGGGTATCGTCAGCGTAATAATGTTGTGAACAGGACAAAAACACAGAGGGAAAATTAGATGTGTATATAGAGAATAAAATTGGACCTAATATAGATCCTTGAGGTACACCAGTATTAAGATCTAAAAATGAAGAAATATTTTGATTAAGTTTTACTGCTTGACATCTATTAGAAAGATAGGATTTCATTAGATCAACTGCTCTCGCATCTAGACCAATATATTTTAGAATAGAGAATAACAAGTTATGGTTAATTGTATCAAAAGCTTTTGAGTAATCTAGAAGAATTAAAATTGATATTTTGTTTTGGTCATAGGCTCTAAAAATATCATCTGTAATATTTAATAAAGCAGAAAGACAGCTATATCTTGACCTAAAACCTGACTGCATCATAGGGATTATGTTGTTATTTTTTAAATGCGTTTGTAACTGAATATCAATCACCTTTTCCAAAATTTTAGATAATGTAGGCAGTACACTTACTGGTCTTAATTCATTCATGCTTTCTGTAATTTTAGTCTTTGGTAAAGGAATGGTGGTAGAAGAAAGGGAATACAGAGTTGCAGCGTTAATATGTTAATACCATCATCACCAATAGCTTTACTTTTAATATTATTAATAATATGTAAAATATTAATTTCAGATACTGGTTTAAAGGTAAGAAAAGAACTGAGGGAATGCTTAAAGTTATTTTCATAGAATATTTGTGTATCATTGTCTGCTTTCATGTTTGGTATGACTTCAATAAAGTGTTTATTTATCTCATTTACATTCCAGACGTTTTTAATTTCGAAGTTATTTTTGGATTTGCCATTATTTACCAAATATTTTAAATTATGCCACATATCTTTAGAAGATTGATCATGTATGTTTTTAAAATATGATTTTTTCTCCCTTATAGTCATAGCTGTTACCAAGTTACGCAATACTTTGTAGTCATTCCATTGATTTATATTTTTAGTAAACTTGTAAGCAGTAAGTGCTTTATCCCTATCTAACATTAATTGCCTGATGGTATTAGTTAACCAAGGAGCATATTTCTTTGAGATTCTAAAAGTCTGATATGGAACATGTATGTCAAGTAAAGTAATGATATTACTAGACAGAAAATCGACTTTACTGTCTATATCTGGCAATTCATATATTATTCTCCATGGTATAGATTCCAGATCAGATTTAAATTGACTGTATTTTAAATTTTTGAAATTCCGAGTAGTAATAAATTTATTTGTATTAGTTTTGACATCACAGCCAAATTTTAAAACAACCATTTCATGATCGCTTATTTCTGGTATATGTTTTACTTCAATAGACAAAATTTTATCCTCAGTAGATGTGATTACATAATCAAGGAGAGTCGATGTGAACTGGGTGATTCTAGTTGCTTGATTAACCATCTGCTTTAGTCCAAGACCATCTAATACATCTGTAATGAACTGTGTGGACTAATTATTGGTATTTAACAGATCAACATTAAAGTCACCCAAACAGAGTAAATGATCTACACTTGGCAGTACTGATGATAAAGTTGTTTCCAAAACTCCAAAGAAAGTTTTATAAAATGCTCCATAAGGGTTATATAAAACACCAATAGCTAATGTTTCACATCGAAGAGAGAGTTTTAACCATATCTGTTCAATTTCATTTGATGACTCAATGAGCACATAATTTATATTACATTTTATGTAAATACCTACACCTCCACCTATGTCATTTTTATTCCTGTCGACTCGCTCAAATTATAGCCAGGTATATTATTGTTCTTACTGCATATTGATTCCTTTAACCATGTTTCACTTATACCCAAAATATCTAAATCATTTTTTAAAATTAGTTCTCTTACATCAATAAAATGCGCAACTAGCGATCTAGAGTTTATATGAGCACACTTTAAACTACTCATGTTATGCTTGGATTAGATCCTTACTAAATTGGTATAAACGATTATGTTAACAATTTAAGCAAAATTTGTAGATGATCATAATTTACTTAAACAGTAATTTACATGGTGATGTATTAAAAGTGTAAAAAAAATAAATAGATATTACTCTTTAATTCAAAACACGTTATAAACTAAGGATTTTTTACTAAATAACTCAAGATGTACAGTTAAATTTTAATTTAAGCGTAAAGAAAATAATCTAACAGTAAATAAATTTAATTCGCCCAAGTTCAAATAATAATAATAATAAATAAATAATAATAATTGTATCTTCAACATCTTTTCTCCATAACCTTCTTGGTATAACTCATTATTATTTCTAGTGTGCTTTTCTATCTATTTTGGCGATCTATTTTAAGGCATTGTTTGCAGATGACCATACCAGTTTAGTCTTTTGGTTTCGATAGTATCTATTATTTTTATGTCAATTTCCAATTCTCCTCTAATGTCTACGTTCATCACGTTATCAAGTCTAGTGTGCCGGCAACATCGTCTCCAACAGTCCGTTTCCAATGCCTTAATTTTTTATTTGATTTTTGATAGAGTTTCCAAAGTTCGGCGTACAACCCAATACTTTCTATAATTGTTTTATAAATTGTTCTTTTATTTTATTTTGTTATTTTAATATTATATAATATAATAGACTATATTTCTTCGTTACTCCTTGCTTTTGATGTTACTTGGACTCCCAAGAATTTGAAGTTTTATTTGTAGGCTTTCTAATATTTCTCCTCTAACTAAATTCTCAGCTTCTTGTATAATAATTGTAAGGCAACACTTGGCATACTTCTCTTCCAGTTTTCTAAGCATACAGTCTATATCGCTCTCGTCTTCAGCTAGAATAGCTTGGTCGTCAGCAAAGTGTATCGTGTACAAACTAACTTCTTCGATTGGAATGCCCATATGGCAGCATTTTCGTCTCAACACGGAAAGCGCCTTACTTTGATTTAGTTTGAAAAGTGTCGGTGCTCTGCAGTAGCCTTGGTTTAGATCCTTACTAATAGGAATGTCTCTAGTTAATTTGGTTCCAGTTTGAATGTTTACCATTATATTTTTGTAAAGCTATTGTACTGCTTTTATATTCTATTCTTCATTTATTTTATAAATATTTTGTTGTATTCCATAAAAAGGAACAATTTGAAGGTAAGCATTTCTCCACTCTTTTTAAACACTTTTTTAATTATACATGTTTTATCAAGCAATTGTTTATATTATCTGCTATGTCAAACAAATCTGAAATAAAAAAAATTATTTTCAAAAGTTCGTGATAAAAAAGAAAAAAAATAGAGAAAAAATTATAAAATCAATAGTTTAAACAAAAACACAATATGCAGCACAGTTATAGCAATAATGGAGAAAAACTTTATCTTCTTTAACCTTACACACAAGAAAAGTGATATAACATGTATGTTGCTACTTTTCAGTCATATTGAAGTCCAACCAAAATTGATTTATTAGTTAATCAGTCACTTATCAATCAGCCAACCAATTAGTAATAAATTTTTATAAGCTAAAGTGTCAGCCCTTGTTCAAACCGTTTTTATTTATAGCAATGTTAATAAAATGTTAAATTTTTTTTAATATACGTTAAAAATAAAGCCTCAAACAATTAATAGTGATCTGATAAATACCTGTAGTGTAACTTATTTAGCAAGTACAGTTGTTTAAATATTCGATTTCCGGCATAAGCAAATTGAAGAACTTACAAACTATTTGGTCGATCTAGCTAAGATTTGGCACCCTTAAATAACTCATTAATTGTCCTAAGTAGTTACATATCATTATT